CCCGTCCCCGTGTGTGCAGCCGCCTGGTCCTCCGTCCCCGTCCCCGTGTGTGCAGCCGCCTGGTCCTCCGTCCCCGTCCCCGTCCCCGTCCCCGTCCCCGTCCCCATCCCATCCCCGTCCCCATCTCCGTCTCCGTCTCCGTCTCCCTCTCCATCTCCATCTCTATCTCAGCTTTCTATCTCTGTCTCTTTTTCTCTGTATTGTTCCAAAGTCATCAACGGAAACAACTGTATTATATAACTATTTGTGTTATCTAGAATATAATTTACATTTAAAGGGTCTCCTTCTAAAATACTGCAATTTGATTTGAAAACGTTAGAAAATGTGGAAAGAAACAGTGACTTTGTTATGTCAAGGTGTTCCTCTCTAGCAAGGAATCCAATAAACTCTGTTAAAAAAAAAAAAAGTCCTCATTCTGTCTTGCATATGAAAATGAGAGGACTTGAGATTTTAAATTACAACTAATGTTGGTAGAGTGAAGTCCTGAGAATTTGGAAAGGTCCAAAGGACTGTGGTTTACACTAATATTAATTAGATGAGTCCTAATTGATTAGACTATAAAACACTATTATATGTTTTCACTGACCCTAAAATCACCTTTAATTTCTATTGATACATTTTTATAAGTATCTAAGAATTCTATTTTATGTATAGAAATACATATATCAGAAATAAAACCTGAATGCACACTTTCAATAAAGCACCACATGAATTATCTATCATGTACATTCAGCGAGTTTTCTTATATGTCCTACAACAAAAAACAAAAGGCAGAGGCTTCTTCAGTTACTCTATTTAATTGTAGTTATTGTCTCATGGATTGAAGTGTGTTTTTTATTGTGGGAGAATTATAGACTTATTAATTGGTGTCTATGTTAAGAAAAATTCTTAGATCTTGTTATATAATGCCATCTCTCCTGAGGGCAGTAAGTCATTCTGAGGAAAGTGAGCTGAAAATAATGGGTTTTTGTTGGCTGTGATAATCATCATCATATGTCGTTATTCTAGAGGAGCAAAGTCACTCCCTTAATGGTAAACAAAATGAGATGTGAATATATGTGGATGTGACAACAAGCTCTGAATAGCAAGTAAGGCAAGAAGCATTGGGTTAAAATTCAAAAGGATTTTCCTATTGTCTTTGTCAGGTACCAATCCTGAAGAGATTGTGGGGGCATTTTGAGCACTCAAATGTTAGTTCACATTTTACAAAAGACAATAAGCAATTATTTGTGGGTGGCAATGTTTTTCCAAGCAGTATTTATACAATGACTTTCACGATTCGTACCATATTCTGTGAATATAATTTTTTAAAAATAATCTCATTTAAAAAATTATGATGAAAGGTTAAGTCTGCAAGAATATTAATAGCATCTATAAATGTTCTAGAAACCTTAGAATAATCAATGCATCTAACCATATTAATGACTTTGCACAATAATTGTGATGTTATTAAAGTATCCTCATATGATGTACTGGATTTAAGCCATATCTCCTTGACTAGTAGATAGCATTTCTCTGCACAATGACTCACACATCTGTGAGTCGATGAGCATAAAAGTAGTGTACTAGAAATTATATTCTCCCACATGGCTTCTGTTCCCCTTCAATTTTGACCCTTGCTGGAAAAGACTATTTATTTTGCTCAAACAGCACAAATAACATAGCTAGCCTTACCGTAAGATTTCAGATGCACTGTTTTGCTTCTCTTTTTGGCAAGTGTGGCTCAATAGGAAGCATGAGCAAACACAATGGGAAGAGAAGTCAGAGCAGAATATAAATAGGTGCTTCCCATAAAGGTGTATTTGTGCATCTGTAACCCGGAGTCACATTTTAAAAAATAACATAGGGGGGGAAATAATTTGATACCACAATTTTAAAAATCTCTGCCATGCCTCATAAATAAACTTTTGTTTTTTCCAATAGTATCTAAAATAGTGGTTAGTTCTTTAAAAATAAAACCTGGAGTTTGCTAATATGAGTTGTGGCACAGTTAAGCATCATCCCTGGACATATTAACATAACATAGAGGCATATGTGCTTCTTAGTAAAGGCTCTTCAATGAAAATCTGCCTCTGTATGGATATGCAAACACACACAAACCTATTGTTAATGTAAAGATACCCATAGCTTCCACCCAAATAATGAGAACCTTTTGAACTATAATTTTCTATTTAATAAATTTTGAACCCTCACTACTGAATTTCCTTGTGAGCCTGTTTTCTTGTAATAAGCTCTTGCTGCAACAACAACAAAAATGTGACCCTTACATATTTGTACAGAAAACAACCAATTGGAGTAGATACATATGATGTGTTGTACTACAAAGGCTTTCCAACGTGGACCTGGATTCCTCTGAAATGCCAGGAGCAGTTTCTTATTATGCTTTGGTCTCTTCTTCAGTTCCAGTAACAAGATTGTTTTTTCTTGCTGAAATCTAATTACCAGCGAGACTGGCAGGATTTCATCTTGTATCTACACTGCAGTTGTGAAAAAAACATTTTTTAATCACCTTGCATTTGAGAAAAGGAACACTTAAAGGGAAAAACATATCCTGAGAGAGGGATAGTGTGAAAAATACATAAGCATTACCCCGATGGGTTTCATTAATTCCTCCCAAATACTCACTGATGAAATTTTTCGCCTTAGGTGTGCAGAAGGCTATTTTGGACAACCTTCTGTAGCTGGAGGATCATGTCAGCCATGCCAATGCAATGACAACCTTGACTTCTCCATCCCTGGCAGCTGTGACAGCTTGTCTGGCTCCTGTCTGATATGTAAGCCAGGTACAACAGGCCGGTACTGTGAGCTCTGTGCTGATGGATATTTTGGAGACGCAGTTGATGCAAAGAACTGTCAGCGTAAGTCCTGAACTATAGATGCCCCTGACAGAATTGATGCATTGCACCTCAATGTAGCTGATGAGTTCTTGAGGGGGACTGGAGAGTAGGAAATTATGTGCAATACACAGATGATAGATGCACAGCCTATGCACAGAGTCTGCATATCCTAAAATATTTTTTTTTACTAATAGAGTAAATCATTTGAAAATTGCTGCATTGCTAAAGTGCCATTGTTTTTCAAATGATACACATGTTTTTGTTTACATGTGGAACAAAGATTTTAAAATAATGTACGTCCATAGCAGGAAAGAAAATTTTGAAAAATAATTAGGACCTATTTATCCTTTATTGTTTATCTCAATTCTAATCATTTTCTTGAAATAAATGTATCTACCCGTATTATTTCATGAGTATCTATCAGTAGGTGTGGATCTGTATTCCTTTCTTATGTGAACTTTACATTCCTGCATTTCATCATAGGTGTAAAATTCTGCCAATAATTTTACACCCTGTCATTTGTAATTGTTAAATGATTGACCTTCACCTTAGGACTGTTCATCGAATGTTATCTGCTATCCTTCCACAAAAGTAGCTATTGTAGGGCTTGGTTCATAATAGTCAGTACATCCCTCCGTCATCATTCCCCCTTAGCTCCATTACACAATGTTGCAAAGAAGTTACAAATGCTTTATATTAATGCTAATATATATGCAAGGGAGATCTTGTGGAGAGTGAAATGGAATTAGTCCATGTTAGCCTTGAGTGCTTTAGGCTTCCACTGTCAGCTTCATCTGCTGCCATAATCTTTAAACAGAACAAGTATCAGCCCAACAGTTTAATTCTGTCAGTCGCATTATGTAAGAAGGGATTCTTCCAGTCATTCAGTGGGTCCTAGGAACTGCAAAATTATAGAAGCCACTGGGAATCTAGTCTCTGTTATTGTCTCTGTTGCGAAGACCAAAGACCTGGTAGGACACCCATTTCAATAAGGAAGGTGTCTTTCTCCCCATAGATTTGTAAGATGAGTGCCAGCTTTTTGCCATTTAAAGATGACAGTTTGTTGAATGAAAAACAAATCACTCTGGAACAATTGATATCTATTAGTATCATCTGTAAATTGATGACTTTTTTAAAGCAAATTTTTCAACAGACTCTGGAGGGCTTTTAGAACCCAGAAAAAGTGGCTTTTAAATTCTAAGTTATTTGAGCTTTAAAAATTCTTGTATAATATACATAAGAAACTTACATAAAAAGTGGGTTTATGGCATCTGTGTAAAATCATAAGGAGTTTAAGAAATTCTCCCATTCAGACACATCACCTAGGATCTGCACTTTCTAGCTATGTGATCCTGGGCAAGACATTTGACCTCACTGAGACTTAATTTTATCATTTACATAAAGGGTCAACTTTCTGTTGGGACTGAAAGATCTACCCATAGGTAGTACCCAGTGAACTGCCTGGGGCTTGCAATGCTCACACTGGTAGCTCCTTCCATAGTGGTTCTTGTGGTGGTGCTGAGTATCCAAGGTGTGCTCATTTTAGGTCATCATTTAATGACCTCTTTTTCTATTTCCCAATACCACCCCCCCCCAAATTTGAGGAAATTCTTCCACTCATTTTATTGTGGTAAATCGGGGACCTGTGGCATGAAGCCTTAAGAACACACAGAAGAATATGGTATAGAAAACATTTGTGAATCATCACCAATTTTTATACCACTTGCCATGAGCAATAGACATGATTATGATTTTGGATGTAAGCATGTAAGTAAGAGTAAAACTATAATAAACTAATTTATTATCTATTTGGATCATTTTTCATAGATACAATAGCTCTTCTAGGCATAGGTGGTAGAGACTCAAGAGAAGAAAGTTCATGACAATGCATTATTTTAGTTGTCCCTAGATTTGTTCATGGAAAGCACAGCACTACAAAGAAATGTATTTTGATTTTCAAATTTATGTGTAGTTTTGTGCCATACATTTATTTTAAAATGCCACATAAAAACTTTACATTGCTTTTGTTATTTTTGACAATAATTATTATTAATTAAAAATGACATTAGTGTCATACATTTCATTTAAAAATGGCACTTAAAATTCTATATTGCTTTCATTACTTTTAGGATGACATTAACTTACAGTAAATTTAATCTTGTACTTCCCACTCTAAGAAAAAGTGGCTTCTAAATTCTAAGTTATTTGAGATTTAAAAATATTTTTGTATAATATACATAAGAAACTTACATAAAAAATTTAAAGTATATACAATAATTCTGGTGTTCAAATGAAATGGATAGTTAAAGAAAATATTTTTTCAGCCTTTTCTCACACCCCAAACATAGACTGGCCTTGGGCTATTGTCCGAGGAAAGTAACTGGCTACAGATGGGGCCAGGCTCTCAACGCCCACTCAACTACTATCAGGTTGGCAAACAGTGAAGGTCAAACTACTGGAAGAAAAATCAAACAGTTTTAAGGAAACTAATAAAGCTAAGTAGAATCTGGAGCCAGATGAACAACATAATAGCATAAACTGATGGGGTAGCTATTTCTAATGTATTTATCAGATCAAGGTATCCAGAAATATTGAGCAAAACTTACCAAAACCATCTATGAATAATCTAAATTCCCATAGTATCTCCCCTTTATATTTTTTATTTTCATATCAATGCAGTTATATTTATACCATTGAAAATATACTCATAGAGTACAGAGTGAGCCAATAATTACTGTTACCTTTGTGAAAAGGCCACTTAATTTTTAGATTGATATATTACATGGTTCATAATAATATCAGACAACTTTATAACACAGAAATGACAATTACTTAAACTAAATATATTTTCTATCTTTGGAGATAGTATATAAGTTGTAAAATAAAAATTATTTAAAAAAATTTGAATGCTATGTTCCTAGTACATGTGAAACAATGCTTTTATCTTATGTACTTTCTTATCTTAAAGGTGTGTATGTGTGTGAATATATATATAGTGTATGTATGTATGTGTGTATATATATATGTGTGTGTGTACATGTATATATGTACATATATATATTTTTAAAATTTACCCTCAAACATATTTTGAGCTTAACACAAAACAGGCACATAGTAAATAATAATTAAATTGAAAAAAATAATGTTGTTTGATTAATAGTGGCATTAATATTATGCCATGGGTGTTATTAATTTTGATAACAAAACTATTTTAGCTCTAGAGTTAATATGCATTACTTACAATTCGATTATAATATTTTAAATGTTACCCCAATGCATCTATAAAGAAGTGAAACAGCTGGAGAAGTAATGGAAAGAACATTTACCTGGAGTCAGGGGATGAGGTTCTGGACTCAGCTATATCACCTACCAACCATGTGGCCTTGTACGAGTTATGGCTTCTTTGAATTTCAGTGTCTTCATCTTCAGCATTGATATAGTAAAAATGACATTAATATTTCAATAGCATATGCTGTGCCAGGTACTGGGCTAAAGTTTTACATGAATTAATCTTACAGTTTGTAGCCTTGTGAGCTCAAGTGACGTAACGCCTAACAGATCACCTAGCAAGTCAGGAAACATTCTAATCTAAGAAATTAGTTGCCCATGTTACCGTCTTGGGGATATTAATATTTAATAAGTCTATTAAGACTATTATGAAGTTTTTCCCACCCACGGAATCTCGCTTCTCTTTCAGCTTGTCGCTGTAACGCCAACGGCTCCTTGTCGGAGGTTTGCCACACTCGGACAGGACAGTGTGAATGCAGACCTAACGTGCAGGGCCAGCGGTGTGATGAATGCAAGGTAAGGAGCAGGAGCTGAGCAATGAATTGCTTCCTCCTTGAACAGCCGCGTTAGCTTTCAGTGACACACACTTTAGTATATTGAAAGAAAGGTTCAGGATTGTCTAATTCTACATGTGAAATTATGGGGATCATTGAAATGGTTTCCCAAAATAGAACAAAAATTTGCTGTACACTAGCATTTAACCTTCAACCTATATTTCCTTGGCAGTGAATTTGTGCAATATTTACTGTATACTTCAACTTTTCTGAATCAAATAACATCCAAATTTACTCTCCAGTCTATGAGAGTAAACTATCTTTCCTTTGCCTTTACGTTGTTGGCAGAATGAAATGCACCATACCCTTCACTGTTCCGTCCTTTAGGTGTTGGTTTCAGTGAGCTCTCTACTTAAACGTTTTCAGTAGAGAAGCTAATTGAGGTGGTTTTTAGATACACCCTTTTGCTAAAGTGAAACTCTAATAAAGATCTGTTGCTCTCCATTCTTGAACAAGTTGCCCCGCCCTCAGTATGGCAAGACCTTGAGATCCCTCTGTGAGAGCAGGTGGGTTTGCACCACCTCTCACACAAATATGTATTTTTGGTGCTAACGACTATTAAACAGAAGCAAGCATTGCTCCGATGTCATCAAGCTGACCTTTCTGTAGGAGGTTTGAAAATGTCATCTGCTTCTATCTCTTGAATAATATCGTACACTCTTTCTTTTGTCTGTTTCTCTTTTTCTTTTGGCTTTTAAAGTCCAATATGTGGTGGGGCCCAGAGAAACGATTCTGTGTGTTATGTGGCTGCAATCCCGTTGGCTCTGTGTCACCACAGTGTGATATTACAGGAAGATGCGTCTGTAAATCAGGCTTCGTAGGGAAACAGTGCAGCCTGGGCAGGCAGGTGCACCGACAGGAGGAGCATCCGCGGAGAACTCAACCGGCCCTGGGGTCTCCCCAGCGATGGGGTTCCAGCAGCTCCAGAGGATGCCCTCGGGGAGCCTACTGGCCCGCGGCTCGGGTAATCCCAGAGGCGCTGCATGGCTCTGGCCTGGCATGCTGTGTTCCGTGTGCTGCGGCTGACGATCCCTGATGCCATTTTACCAAAAAAAATGGTTGCTAAGTGTGCAAGTTGCAAATGCAAAAACTAGACAATTCCTGATTGAACCTTTGCCTTTTAAAAATAGCTATCCATGTTTTCAGACGTATATTCAGGTTCATAGGTTAGTAAAGTTTCATTAACCATGATGTGTAGAAAACAAAGAAAAATATATGTGTAGGAACCTATAATCTTAGAAGTGGAAAGGGCCTCAGGCATCATTTGGAGCAAACTCACTTCTATGAATGAACAAATGAAGGGAAATCTAGCAAAGAAAGTGACTTGCCCAAGAAAATTCAGCCCGTTGAATTTTAGCATAATGAACGATTTGATTACATGTCCATACCATAATTTTGCTCAAGGATACACCAAACACAAGAAACACACTGTAAATGCACAACATTCACCAAGTACGGAAGCATATTTTCTGCCACAAAAAATGGGTCCCCCTCACAAGGCAAAACAAAACGTATGTTGGGAGGAAGGGAAGGAGGGAGGGAAGGAGGGAGGGAGGAGGGAAAGCTAGGTCCACAGCCAATCTGCAGAGCAGCAGGAGAGGAGACTTTCCAGGGTAGAATCAGAGCCTGTGGGAGAGCTGAGCATAGGGGATAGAAGAAAGTGAGAAGGGCATATGAAATAAATGAACAAAGAAGAAAAAAAGCATGGTTTTATTTCTCGGCTCCTACTGACATTTTAAGAAAACTAGTTCTCATTTCAGACTGCCTCAGGTCAAATTCCAGCCTCACCACTTTCTAGCTATAACAGTTCTTTAAATATTCCCATAATTCAACTTCTTCATCTGTAGTAGAACCTACTTCATAGAGTTTGCATCTGTTTGGATTTTCTAAGAGGTAAATGCCAAGAGATTTGCTGGGGAAAATTCCCATGAAAGATGAAGTGGGGAGGGAGCATAGTATGAAGGGAGCTTCTGCTGCAGTGGGAGGGTTCTTTGTAAACGTTAGGTATTATTAATACTATTGTTATTAAATAAAGAAATCTTGAAAAGAGATCATGTCCCTAAATAAGGTATGCATGCACAAAAGAAAGGGGTAGTACCAGTTCAAAATGTCTCCAGTATATAAATTTAGCAGAAATTCAACCCTCATTCATGCCCTTTTCCTGCGTATCTTACAGCATGTTTGTATGAAGCAGTAGTCTGTCCTCAGACCATATTTTCTCTGAGACAGTATGTGTGTTCAGAGCACGGACTCCGAAGGCAGGCTGGCTGATTTGGAATCCTGACTTCACTGTTGGCCAGCTGGTGACCTTAGGCAAATCACTCGATTTTTCTGTGCCTCAGTTTTACCACTCTAAAAAGATGATAATATATTAATCTCATAAGATTATCTTGAAGATTAAATGAATTGCTATTTGTAAAGGGCTTTAGAACAGTGCTTGGCACATCGTAAGCACAATATGTAAGTTCTAGTTGTTACTATTATCCCAAGTAAGAATAATTTATGGGAGCTCAACAAACTTCCCAGTGAAACTGATTGGCATTCTCTCCCACATTTCACCTCATTAATTTTGAATACCGACTAGGGGTGTTTTTTCTTAAATTTGTTTACATCGGGGGTTTTCCCTAGTCTGTGAAATACATTTTTAAACACCAAATTTAAAATTGTATTACTAAAATTTAGCAGTATTTGTTTTGGTATAACTTAGCCTTTAAAACTGCATAACTTAAACATTAAAAGTATGGTAGAGACATTTCTTCTTGTATATTTCTTTACATGATCAACTTTGGAATTTTTTTTATAACTATGATTTGGAAGTTTACTTCATTTTTTATTCATTATCCATTAAATAAATAAATATGTGTGTATACATGTATATGTATGTAAATATGCTAAGTAAAGAAACATTTAGGAAATAAAGATAAATATAAAGTACTATCTTTACAATTCAGATTTCTAAGTCAAGAATATTTTTAAAATAAAAGCAAATGCAAAGTACTAGTTCTGTGATTCGGATATTTTTAAAAACTATTTTACTACATTATGTTTTAGTCTTTTTAATGTATATATGTTTCTCTTTGTATGTATCTGAGTGGTAGGTGTGCCATTATAGGTATGTAATTAGAATCAGAGTGTATATATAATTTTGTATTCTGCTTTTTAAAATTTTATGCTATATACTTAGCATATCCATGCTAAGTATTTAATGCTATATACTAAGCATATCCATGTCATTAAAACTGCTTCAAAACAGGATTTTAATGATTGCATATCATTTTATAGCATGAATGTATCATAATTTAATTTATTCAGATTTTCTCTAACATTGAACATGAAGTGTTTCTAGTTACTTACTATGATAAATAACACTGTAATGGGCATGCTTGTACTTTAACCATCTTCCCAATTTTTGAATATTTCTCTAGGCCAGGTGTCTAGAATCCTACATTAAAGTATTTTTATAAATAAAAATATTATGTTTTAAGTTTTCTTTCTGTAATTGAATTGAATTTCAATAGCATGTGTTAGGACATTTTTTAGAACAGATGCACAGTTTCTTCTTTAATCATGCAGTGAAATCTGAATTAGAACTAGAAATAAAAATAAAGTCAGCAGTAAGTATAAATAAAATGATTTTTCCAGCTCATTCAACCTATTTTATATTTTAAATACAAAACTACTCTTAGCTACAGTCATTTTAAAAGAATAATTTTAGTGTGATTTTGTTTTCTAGAACTTATTTTAATAGTTTTAACAATAATGACAAAAGTACATAATGCAGCTTATTCATTTCTCTTTGAGTGGCTCACATTAAGTGGCAAGATTCATTTTTACCAAGAACTATTAAGTCTAATTTTCCAAAATATAAGTTATTTTTACAAAGAAGTAATGACTGAGACTAATTTTCTAGATTAAAATATCATAATAATGTGACATGCTTTATATTTAAAAAGACAATCCTGATGTACTTTAAGTAGGATATGCGCTTCCCATTTTTCTAGTAAGAGTCATTTTTAACCCATCAGCATTTCCTTATAGTCACTCTAGGTCTGATAACATGTATTTCAAGAAATTCAGACAAAGCTAGTAATGAAAACTTGACTATAGAAAGTCACTTGTTATAAATAGATAGAGATATGCACATGAGTAACTCATCAGAGTACAAAAGTTTTCCTTCCTTTACCTAATCTTTGTTGTGTGTTTTCATAAAGCAATTTCTACTGTTAGGATGAAACCCAAGAAACTAGATGCTTGTCAAACCAATTATTTCATCAGTATAGGCATAACCTGTTAATTATATTTATAACATGAACCCTATAGTGATGATTAGGAGTATTTATGGATATATGAAAAATGTTAGATAAAATATTAGAGGAAATAATTTCTTTTAATTTTAAGCTGTGGATAACAATATTGAAAGCATTTTTATCAAGTAGAAGGAGTTCATAAGATCTGAAAGTAATCAATGCAGATTATTAGGATTTAAGCAAATAAAATTTTTAATTAAAATTAAAATACCAACCATAGCTCTTTTTCATGGTGCTGTTAATATCTTGGGAAGTACAGGGAAAGACTAGTGCAAATATATCAGAATGAATGATAATGCCCTAATTCTGCCTTTATCTAGATGAAATTTCAAAGTAATTGAACTTCTGTCTTTGGATACTATAAAAACATTATTTTAGATTGAAGGACAACTCAGTTGTCATAACATCAGTGAAGAAACCTTCCTAACCCTTAGGCTCCTTTTTCTCCTGCCTGATCTTTTAGTGCTGTGCATCTTGTTCCACAGTGAATGAATTGATTTAAATTTAATGTTTCCCTTTCCTTTCCTATGCCAGCCTGAAACCTTTGGCCTACACTCGGCAAGAGGATGTGTTCCCTGCAACTGTAATTCCTTTGGGTCTAAGTCATTCGACTGTGAAGAGAGTGGTCAGTGTTGGTGCCAGCCTGGAGTGACAGGAAAGAAATGTGACCGCTGTGCCCATGGCTACTTCAACTTCCAAGAAGGAGGGTGCACAGGTCCGTTATTAAGACTAAGCATCTCACACTCATTCTCTGGTTCGGGTGTCTTAGCATCTGTCACAGTTTGTTCCTCAGGGTCCCCAGAGATTAAAGGACAACAAATATATGATACAGCATATTTAACTAATAAGAAACATCTATTTATCTTAAATAAATTAACAAAAGAAATACATTGTACTTTGAAACATGGTCGTATAAAAATCTGTTCTTGCTGGTGCTGTATACAAATCCATCAGCAGATCTCAATTCTGCTGTGTCTCTCTCCCTGACTGTGACCTCCATTCAGTGAGTCACTCAGAGGCTTACTGCATCTTGAAGGTCAAATGTTCAATTTTTCTGGTGCCAATGTTGTCTTAGTTTAAACTCTACTCCCAAGTTAATACAGTTCAACTTTTTCTTTTCCTGTTGCAAAATTGGTACAAGGATCAGGGAAGTTAATATCATTTTTCTGGTACAAAAAAATATGTTTGCATCTACTTTCAGGTGCCTTGAAAACTGTGATATTCTGAGAAAGAAACAGGTTGGCTCTAGATATTTGTGACTTCATGGGAAAGTGCAGGCAGGGGTTTCTACCATGATTTCCCCAAGCAGTATTCTCACAGTATTCAACCTTCTAATAGTCATGATATAGAAAGAGAAATTAGCACAAAGTCGTTGAAAGTAAAGACTTAACCTTAGTATTGATTTATGTGCCACTAATTTGGAATTGACGCTTACTCCAGCCTGTTAACCTTTGCTTACTAAACTCGCTGATTCAATATTGATGATACTTCTGTACTCAGCATCATGATAAATACATGGTAAGATTTTAAGACTTCATTATGGACGACTATAGTGAATTTATGTGAGAAGTGTCAGGAATAATACTTGAAATTATTTTAAAAGCCAATACCTTTTAGACATTCTCAAATACCTTTGGTATGCAGTTGCAATAATAAATTAAGCCATTATAAATTATTCTAAATGATATCATTTAGATATCTAAGTGTCTGCATGTGATTTCTAAGTCAATATCTGTAGATACTAAAATTCTAAAGCTGCATTTTAAAATATACTCTTATTTAAATCAAAATCTCACTAATATCTTTACTTAATAGGAAGTAATGAAATGGTAATAAATATTCAGATATATCCACTACCAGAAATTATAAATGAGACCAAAAACATTTTTTGAAATTTTGAAATAGTAGTAATATTTTAGAACTGCAGACTTAGTAGCATTTAACCCAGAAAAATAGAGAACAAGTACAAAATATGCATAATAGCATTACCTTTGAGAGCATGACTTGCTCCAAAGAGCTAGGATATTTTTAGTGGCTCCACAAGTAATTAGTGGACTTGGTTTCCCTGTCCCTCTACAAAATTCATCTATTAAATGAAGAAAACAATAGTGCATACCTTGCTGGGTTTTTATAAGACTTAGTTGAGTTAATGGTTATACAATATTTAGAGGAATGCCTGGTACATAAGTTCTATGTGTTTATTATTGTTATTATTATTATCCATATTTCTTTGTTAGTATCATCAATGTGGTAAACATTCTGTTTTAACAAGGAAAAAGCAGCTAATTACTCAAGTTTTCCTAGTCAGTCAGTGTTATGATTCCATTGAAGAACCAGTTAGAGAATTTCTATTTGCAGGTAATGATTTGAACTGTCCCAAGACATTTTTAGTGCATTAATTTAAACACAATGTGAACTATATTTCTTCTTAATAAATGGTACATATAAACTAAATCCTTTGGCTAAAAGTTAGCAGCAATAATAATAACAAAAACAAAGGCTAACATTTATTTGATGTTTACCCTACGCTAAGTATTGTGCTAAATATTTTTCACAGCTGCTATGAAATGCTGCGAGCAATGATAATTATGATCTCTTAAAATGTGAACTTAATCAAATATTCCATATGTTTTTGTTAAAAAGATTTAATCACTATATAACCAATTACAAAGGTGTCTTATAACATCTGTCTTCTATTTGAATTTGAGTATTTGGTTTTTCTTCTCTTGCTTTCTCTTCTTTAATATGAAACACCGCACTAAAGTATACTCAGCAGCTGGGTCAACTATAGGTAGTAAGTGGCATACAGCCCTGGGCTGGCTTTGAAGATCTCAAGTCCTATCGTTGCATCCTTTGGGACAGTGCATGGGTGGGGTGAACGTGCACTCTTCATGTATCACGTTATAGCATGGAAATTTCAAAATCTATTGAAAATAAATAAGGCAGGTGGTAAATAAAACTCAAAAACATATACATATACAGTTCTGCAATTCAACTATTTTTAAATATTTGCAGAACTGGAGTGTCCCAACGTATGTTAGGATATGCTGAATTTAGAAAGCATATTAAACTTATTGGTTTTTATTGTAAATCAGAGTCATCAGCATGAAGGAATTCTTAATCTATACAGTATAGAAAAAGTAATTGTGAACTTAAATACAGAAATGAAATTCTGACCTTTATAATATTTAGATATAAGGTAATACAGTTAGCATGGAATCTGATACACCAGTTCTTCCTTTCCTAAAGCTTATTTGAAAAGTTTAAAACGCTTTACCTTTTGAAATTATTAAGTGAATTGCAACAGATATGTGTCGAACACCTCCTCTGTGAAGTACATTGTACTATGATACAAAAGATGAATGAGTTAAGTTTTCACTTTTAAAGATATTTAATCATAGTGTGGAAAATAAAACAACACAAATCACAATATAAAACTCAACATTTTGTATCAAATTTTTACTTTTTTCTTCCCTTTCGCCTGTGTAGCTTGTGACTGTTCTCATCTGGGTAATAATTGCGACCCAAACACTGGTCAATGCATTTGCCCTCCCAATACCATTGGAGATCAATGTTCTCAATGTGTACCTAATACCTGGGGCCACAGTATCGTCTCTGGTTGTAAGGTGAGTGAAGCGTTTTATTTCATCTGATAATGTTTTTAAAGATTTGTTTATGTTGGTAGAGCTTTAGAATTGTGCATTGCAAAATCCAATATTATATTACAAAACAGTGTGAAACTATCATTATGGAGTGATTGCAGCTATTGATCAGTATCTAACATTTTACTTGTGGGAAAGATAATGAAGTAAGTACATATTTATGCAGCCTCATTCATGATACCTACCAAAAAGAGGAGAAAAGGAACCCCAGAAATCTATAACAAAATGGAAACAGCTAGAGCCTCATACACACAATGAAATATATCTGCAAAGTACAAGGAAATTAGGAACTAATTAAAGGAGTTTGCCAAAAATCTATATGAATTACCCTCAAATTATAACTAGGTTTCAGTTTCCAGGAAATAGTTGAGAAGATTGTGATTCTAAAGAGTCATATTAACAACCTTACACTTAGAAAAATCCTCAATCTTTTTCTCGTGGAGGGACCTTAGAAAGCTTCATGACCAAACTCACATTTAAAGAAATATATTCAGCATCAGGGTTGAAGTAACTATCAAGTTTGAAGATTCATAGAGCTACATTTTTAGAAACAAAACAAAAATTCCTCAAGAGTTCCAAAAATTTAGATGAGTTTGAACAATTCTACAAGTTTCTGTGACTGACTTTTTGCATTTTCCACTTTGAATCCAAGCATCTACCCCATCCCTGGACTTGTGAATAAGCCATAAGGAAACTTATGAGGGTTCCATTCCAGCCACAAAACCCAATGATGTGGCCAAACTCTAATGAAACTCCTGAAATTGGAACTGATAGCTAATGTTCAGGATATAAATCAGGATAAAATATAGACCAAGTTTATTTTTTTTAAGTAATGGTAGGTTTGATAGCATTATATAGTGATCATCAAATAAACATTATGTGGTTTGAATTTAAAGTGTTTTACTTACTTTGAACCACTATTAAAAATCTAAGTTCCTGAACTGACCTCATCATTATGATCAATTATAAAAAAAATCATAGAGCCCTCACAAATAGTTAAGAGCACACATTCTACTATTTTAAAGACTTGGATGACTATACTCTAAATCTACATGATTCTAGATTTATAGCTTTCCTTTCTTTGTGTCATGGGTAATTTCTCTGTGCTGAGGTGTGAGCACACACATCATTTGAGCTTTCATTGAAGTAGAATACAAAGCCTGCCATCTTTCGCTAGCAGGGGAATAGTGCATAAATCCTCTGTTGCTAAACAAACATTGCATCTAATTACGATTTAAGTTTGATGTTGGCTACAGTGCTAAATAAACATATGGCTAATGATCTCGTTTAGTCTTTACTATGACTTCCTGGATATAATTTTTTATTTGAAAAGGTCCCATTGTCTGTTTGTACTGTCGATTAGTCCTTAAGATTTATACAAAAATTGGGTAGTAGATATTCTATATTTTAGTTAAATGATACGAATGTCTCATCAGACATTTTTAAATTTTATTGCACGATTATAGTTTCTATCCATCTTATAATTTTCTGTTTCTGATTATGGCCCATTTTGTTCAAGTCAATGAAAAAATATTTAAGTGAACAAGTCAATCATCCTTATTTTGAAATCTCATCCTACACCTGACGTTCTATAAAGATGAATTACTTAGGGTGATGACAGTGGGTTAGTCTATGCCTTGAGAACTATGTAATAGAATAAATAATTACATTGGGATTTTAAATAACTTTTAGTAACATCTCCTATGCTGCCCTTTTTCCTGGATACCAATGAAGGCATAAAGAAACACTTAATCACAAAGATACCCCAAATAAGGCCTGACGATTATTTTAACATCAGAATCTGGGAAAATGTTTCACCAAACATTTGTACAGGAAAGAGATGATAGATAGGAAGCTGGTGATTGTACATCACATTCTAGAAAGAGTAGTCCCATAAGTAAACTACTGTTGGCAGGAGCAGAAGCAGGAATAGTCCCAGGAGTGGTGGATATACTAATTAAGTTGAGCAATGAATGTGTGAGAAATACAAAGTGAGATCCAGCCAGAAGTAGATCTGGGACTTTGGCAAGTTGCTAGGCGTGTGAGTCTGCCATAGAGCTGTAGATCTGAGAAGAAGAACGGTACAGCACCGAAAAGAGTCAGATGAAAGGCTAAGTATAAACTGCGGCGACAGACTCAGACACGGGGAGAGGTGGTGCCCCCTTGGATACCAAGTCAGGACCCATGTGGGACACAGAAAGCACATCAGTTAATTAAGCAGGGAAAGTAGAATACAAAGTCTTAGTAACTAGTAAAAGGTAATTCCTAAAAAATTTACTGAAAAAGATAAAAGAGAGAGAGAGGGATCCTGAAGCAGCAGTTACAGAAGAGCAGCTACTACTTATAGGCTTGTGGAGGGTGGGCCATAAAGGAACCAAGGGCTGGGAGAGGCCACACACTTCCCCCTCCCCCACCCCAGCTAGGCTGAGGTTCAGACACATTGAAAGAGAGGGTAGCTACCACAGGAACACAGAACCTGTCTGTGATAAAACAATAAACAACAACAGCAAAACGATTGGCAGAGTCTGTGGGCAAATGCTAGTCTGTGGAAGATGCCCACCATTGCTGAAGGCGATGGGCATGCTGGAGCCACATAGAAGCAGCCTGTCATGGTCACAGCTGTGTGCAAACCAAAGCCACGCAGAAAGCTGCCTATTGGAGAGAGTGGTCTCGAGGGCACAGCTGGAAGCATTCTGAACTTCTGGGCTCTCATGCTAAATATTAAAATAATGATAATGATGATGGTAATGAAGACAGAACCCACCACTATGATTGTATTGGGTCTCTCCGTGCCCTTTGTTGATGAGGCTTAACATTCGGCTACCTGGCCATGGAGAAACATCTACAGGTTCTAACTACAGTATCACGAAGCAGGGCAAGGAAGAATGAACTTAAAGCTCAGAGGCATTAGATTGATCATTGGCACAGCTGGTCTCTGAAAATGGTTTATTTATTCCAAGATCCTAAATGACATTTTAGAAATCTGCTTGGCACTTTTATTACATAGCAAGGAGATGTGAGCATTGTAAATCAAGAGCAGCAAGATTTAGAAGAATGTAAGAAAAAAGACACATGGATGAGCAGAAGTCAAAGAAGAGATGAAATAAAGAAATTATTGTTAATAGTGTAATTAAAATAAGCTTTGGTGGTATATACATACAACAGAATTTTCACTTTGTAAAATGGGAGCTATGAAATATTTGAGAGGCAAAAAAGAAAATAACTACTGTAGACATCAGGGTGTTGTAGATTTAGCAGAGAGACAAAGCGGTGTACTTTAGGAATTATAAGTGATCCTCGAGAACAAAACTGGTAAATTAGAGCAGAGGTAAAAATCAAAAACAAATTTGAAGAAATAGCACTAAATTTAAAAAAAAAACACAAATTTTGTTCTCACACTGAAAGAACTCACCATGTGCCAGTAAATTGATTAAAAGAACCTCAAACTTTAAAAATTCTAACAAATTTTGAATTACACAAATAGAGAGACATTTATATATATAAGAAAAAAGTTACAAACAAAGCACCTCAAATCAGGCTTGTCTAAAAAACCAAATGCCAAAACCAACACCTAGATGTCACTTCTCCAAATTCTCCCTGGCTTCCCCACATTTGGTTCGATGCTCCCTAAATGTCCGCAGAGTGTTTTGCATTTCCCCTATTATGTAATGTTATTCCATTGTGTTCTATTTATATATTTACTTGTCTTTCTCCATTAAACTGTAGGGCATGTCTCTGTACAACTTGAATGCTATAAAAATGAGATGATAAAGTAAAATGATTTTGTCTAAAGTTCAATCTTTGAAACAAAAAGGGTTTGAAGAAGACCCATACTTAATTCCTCCTTGCCACAAAAAGACAGAGGAAGTACATTTTCTTTCTTATTCAATAGCATTATGGTTTCTAGACACATATATTTCAGTAAATGCAGGAAACTATTTTAGTGTTATGTTCACTGATGTTTCCCAAGCGACTAAACTAGAACAATAAAAAGCATATAATACATACATGATTAATAGGTGTTTAATGGGAGCATAGAAACATTAGAATTAAAATTTTAAGATATTTTCCAGGAAATGGTGTTAATAGTTGCTGTTTTTATCTCCTTCACAGGCTTGTAACTGTAGCACGGTGGGATCCTTGGATTTCCAATGCAATATAAACACCGGCCAGTGCAACTGTCACCCCAAGTTCTCTGGTGCACAATGTACAGAGTGCAGCCGAGGTCACTGGAACTACCCTCACTGCGACCCTTGTGACTGCTTCCTGCCCGGGACAGATGATGCGACCTGTGACTTAGGGACTAAAAAATGCTCCTGTATCGATCGGACTGGGCAGTGCACTTGTAAGGTTTGTGCTGCCCAAATGCATTCAGGCAAAACTTGCCTCAAGTTTATTTTCATAGCTCAGCATTAACTTTTAATTATTTCTGCTTCATTGAGCTAAACAAACTGAAAGACCAAAACTCATTGACAGACACAGTTTTTATTGATGTGTGTTCATTGGCACACTGATAAGCACTGATTTTTAAGAACTTACTTTTAACCAAAGCCTAACTTTTTTTCTAGTTGGTGGATGTGACATATTTTTAAGGGTAAATGTTTCTTTACATATCTGACTTGCTTACATAAGAATAATCTGGGAGAGATAAAAAGACCGTTCTCTTAAGCATCATCAGAGAAAAATCACAGCTAAATAATAAGGCTTATAAAAAACCCCATTTCTCCTCAGATTAATCTGAAATCACTGTGCACTGAAAACTATATTTAGTGCTATGGAAGTTCTGTAAAGTTTCATCACATATAAACACTGACATTACAAACAGTGACGATGTGGGAATTTCAGCCCTCATTAATATTGTGAAATGGTGTAGAAAAATAGCCAATTAAAGAGGATAAGAGAGATCCCCCCCCACCCTCCAGATACATCTGAAAAATCAATTTCAGGATAAATACTATTAAGAATGGGTCATGGGTATCTTTTCAAGAAAAAGTCAGTACAGAGAGGACAATACAGCAGGATGGAATCCAGGGAGTGAAGATTAAAATAATCTTGAGAGTGTAAGAAAAGGGCAGCCTCTGCCATTCAGGGCCCTGAACAAAACCCAAAGTACAGCGCAGCCTTATTACATATAACTGTGACAACACATTATATTTAATACACATCATATGAGTATATATATATATTATATAATCATTATTATATAAATCTACATGTTAACATCCTGTCTGTTTTTTACATCTATCTTTTTGCATCACACTGCTGTTTAGGAATCAGTGTTTTATTTTGCTTTTGCAATTCTCATGACTCTTTCATCTCTTTCGTATTGTTCACAGCTGAATAGTAGAAATATGCTGCTTAGATTTTAAAAACAATACACAATATCCTTGATAATGTACTTATGCATAAATTAAGCATTTTTTAGACCCATGAAATCTTAACAAGACAATCTACATGTACCATTTGAGATGGGAGTCTAATACTCAATGATCTTTTCTGTTTGTTTAATTTTTAAAAACTGCACTCCTGTTATTCATTCTCAAGTTTAATTCCCTCATAATGTCACCATTAAGAACACTGAGGAGCTCTCGTTTTTCTTCAGGTGAACGTGGAAGGTGTCCACTGTGACAGGTGCCGGCCTGGCACATTCGGACTTGATGCTAAGAACCCACTTGGCTGCAGCAGCTGCTATTGCTTCGGAGCTACTACCCAGTGCTCTGAAGCAGAAGGACTGATCCGCACATGGGTGAGTAAGGACCTGCCGAGCCACCTAAGGGTGTAATGTTAGCTCTGCAGGCGTCTCTCAGCCAGGCTCCGAGGGGCAGGAGGAAATGGCAAAACACTTAAGCACCTTTTCCCCTGTGCACATCTAGAAATGGTAAAGGGGCCATGTACCATTAGAGGATTGGATGGAGTAAAAGCCTTTTTTAATATTCCTTAAAAAGACTTCATTTATTGTTGATAAAGAAATAGATGGCAAGTGAAAAGAGGAAACACTGTAAGAGAAACAGGTTTGGGGATGGGGAGAACCTGCATTCTGAAGGGCGAGGGCACCCGAGCATGAAGGTTGATCTGTGCTGGTGCAGTCATGAACACCAGACTTGTTGCACATTCATTCCAACCAGACTTAGAGAATCATAAATTTTTAGGACAGAAGCATGTTCATTCTTACTTACATGTTCCTTTAACTCTTCCTACTTTTACGTGCTACTTTTTATTAGTGTAAAAGGCTCCAATTTGCACAGGTGTGGTTTTCTCTGTGCAAACAAGTCAGAAGATGTATTCCTTTGCTCAGTAGGCACTAGTCTGGTTTTTGTGAAAACAGCTCATCAGAATGGGGATGGTCCTACAGATAGACATGCAGTCAGTCCATAATTCGGTTTCAAATGAATGCCCCAAAAGACTTGAATTCAGCCTCCTGCTGTGATCTGATCCCTTATAGGTGGCTCTGGAGCCGGAGCAGACCATTCTGCCCCTGGTGGATGAGGCGCTGCAGCACACAACTACCAAAGGCATTGCTTTTCAAGATCCCGAGATTGTTGCCCACATGGATCTGGTGAGACAAGATCTCCATTTGGAACCTTTTTATTGGAAACTCCCAGAACAATTTGAAGGAAAGAAGGTAAGGGCAAGAACTTTGACGTCACATGAAGGTAAAGTAAATTATGTTTTTGGAATCACTCCATTTGGAGATTTAGCTAACTCATCGCTCCTCATTTTATTTTGTCAGTTGATGTCCTATGGGGGAAAACTCAAGTATGCCATCTATTTTGAGGCTCGAGAAGAGACAGGTTTCTCTACATATAATCCTCAAGTTATCATTCGAGGTGGGACTCCATCTCATGCTAGAATTATCGTTAGGCATATGGCTGCTCCCCTAATTGGCCAATTGACAAGGCATGAAATCGAAATGACAGAGGTAAGTTTATTAGTTGTTTGGTGCAAAGATGTTAATGGTTTTATGTTCAGTTTTGTCAAAGTGGTTTATTTTCTTGTTAACAGAAAGAATGGAAATATTATGGTGATGATCCTCGAGTCAGTAGAACTGTGACCCGTGAAGACTTCTTGAATGTACTATATGATATCCACTATATTCTTATCAAGGCTACTTATGGAAATGTGATGAGACAAAGCAGGTAACTATAGTAGAAAATACCCAAGTTAAGTGCTTATTCTAGAGTCTATAGGGAAGATCAGTAAGATATCACACCAGAAAGATTTTAAAGTGTTTGGTTTGAGAGAGTGATGATAGAAGACAAGTAAAAAATAGTTTGTAGGTCACCTGGTGGAAATTACTGCCACTCCCTCAAAAAGGAAAATTGATTGAAAAGCAAGTTTAAGGGAAAAAATGTTGCATTGACCTTTGACATGGTGCATTTTAAACGCCAGTTAGAGATTCAAGAGAAGATGTCCTGTAGGGTAGAGGTAATTAACTGTTGTACTATAAATAGGCTGCACAATTGCTGAGAAAATAACCTCGTTGAACCTTCAGGGTCACCAGGCAGAGACAAGACCACCCAACTCTTTGACCCATGAGCATTTCTCATCTGTTCACCCCAGTGTACCATACAATATTGTCATTTTCCCTGTGCATGATGATGTGAAGAGATTGGGAACCACACTGAATAGCAAAGAACACAAAAAACAGCACGAATAAATAATGGAAGCCAAAGGATGGGAATACTATAAGGGACTATATTGTTTTCATATGACCCAAAGAACTCAATTAAAATGAGGCTTTCTGATACTGACACTTAGGATCACACTGGTGACATTGTTAATACCAGTTTTAGTGGAGTTTTAAGTCTCAAAGTTTTGAGGAATATTGACCCTAATATTATGAGTGTAGACTAATGTTTTCCATGAACATAATTATAAAGGGAGGAGTGAAATAATATCAAAGTTCAAGGGATGATTATTTAATTTGAAAGAGAAGTAAGCATGTTTATAGACCATGGGGAAATGAATTAATAGCAAGGAATACATTTAAAAATTATGGAATAAAGAGAGGACAGATCGTGGAGACACCATGAGACTTCAGCGTCATGAGCACGCATAGTCATGTTCCTTGAGACAAAGGGGGGGAGCTTAACCAAATAAGATGAAATGAGGAATCACACACAGAGGTAGTTTAGGTTTCATACTATGGAGACAGAAAGGTGAGTTGAGTTTATACACATGTTCCCAATTCTCTGGCATTTCGTTTTCTCTGTTATGTCCTGTAAGAATATGGAATCCACAAATATTTGAAAATAGTCTTGTATAATAAATCTGTAGACCAGTCCAGGGAAACAAAACAAAAAAAGTATCAAACCTCTCATTGGCAAACCAATGAATATAAAAATACCATATTTCAAATGTTTACATTGTACTAACCACGTAACAGAAAATCCTTATCTTTCACGCGGAAGATCCACATTGCCTTTCTGATTATACCAAAAGTCAAAGCATAAATCAAGAGCCAACATTCACTTTCAAATCTGTATTCCTTTGGTTTCCCTTTAATATTTTCCACTTCAAACAAGAGATTATTTTTATGTAAAATAATAAAAAAGTATGTACCAAAAATAGACTCTCAGCTATCTTGTCAGTTATTTTAGAATATCAAATAAATGTGCATCAGGTGGTGGAAGCTAGAGCAGGTTTGCATGTTATAGAAGATAGCAAATAACTTGTTGAGTGTGCAAATATATTATTTTGTGAATTGTTCTGTGCTGTTCAGGACATTTGTTAGTGGAACTGATAGAAACAAGGTTGTCCTGCATTTTTCATTTTACTTTCACCTCTCTCACAGATTCCATCTTCCTATACTGTGAGGTTGTCTTTCTTCCCCAGAAGTCTCTTCCCTCATCACCTTATTTCACATTCCTCACTAACTAGTATCCTGTGGCTTAAGAGATCAGTTTTGAAACTTTAGAGTAAATAAAACACTTTTCTTCTAGGCTCAATAAAAACTAGAGTCATCATCTAGCAATAATAAGGACAAATAAAGCAGTGGAGCAGCACTTGATGTAAGACAATGGAATTGGGACAGAGTTCAAAAATATGTTTGGATCTTCCCCCAAAGTGGCTAAGACATAGCCCTGTGGCTTTATTCATTTACTAATTTCAGGAGTCTCAGAAGCAGAGAGTTTGAGTTGTTATGCATGTGCTTTGAGATTCAGATTTTGTACCTATTGTCAGTGCTATTTTTTTTCTCTTTGCTTTTGTCTTCTCTTACATTTATTTGAAGGACATAACTTTTATTTCAGTATTCATTTGAACAAAAGCTTGAATTTGGCCAAATCCCTGATTCAGAAAAAAACAGTTGCTCTCTAATCTCCTGAGGAAAAAAACAATGTGTTGTAGAAATATCTGTTGTTTACACCATTCAAGTTCCACTTGGTTTTTAAACACTTACTAGTCTGTTGTGTGCAAGCATGTGTGAGAGAAGGAAAGACTATTCTAGTAAATCCACAAGTTATAAAACACCATGAGATCCCAGTCCACAAACACCAAGTTACCTTTTTAGTCCCACAGAGAATCAGAGGACCATAAAGGGAGAGTCTTTCTCGTAGGAGGGCACTGGTTTGTTTACAAGTCACAGCCACTATATGCCCTTTAAGGATGGAAGGGTGAAATCTGAATTTTAACTCAATGTGGGTTTCATAAAGGCTGCCTGATCTTCAGAGTGCAGATTACAATGGCAGTGAAGTCAAAATATGCATTCGTAATTTAGTGTCAATAAAACCTACCTGTGCCTGTTATAAAGTTTATGATTCAAGCTCCTTAAGCTATCAGTGGTGCCTTTTATTGAAGCAAAACTATTCATTGTTTCATTTAGAAGCTTATTTGCAGAACATTTCATGCTATCAGTCATGAAATAGTCTGAGTTTATGAACTGCATATATTTTTAATGCATAATTTCAAATTAATGAAAAGGGTATCAACATTTTCACTGTGAACCTTTTTTTTTTCCAATTATAAGGACATTTCCACCAATGAGGAGCATGAGTTAAGTTACTTGAAGAATGTATTTAATAAAGTTAACAAAATATTCATTTGAAAATATTTTATCATCTGAAAAATATCAATATTATTTGATTATGCTCCATTATTGTTTTCTAGATGGTTATCTAAAGGTTTAGAAAGGATATTCAGAGTCTCAAAAGGAAGAAATCAGAGCCAGTTGTAAATTAAAGCAATTTCACTAGTGACTATGGAAGATATCCTAACGGGAATGACCGTAGGTTGTCTGTTTGAAAGAATGTAAATGCCTAATTAATTGGCCATGTCAACCTGAAGCCACTCATATTTTAAAAAGTGGGGGGAAATCTTTATAACTTCCCAACAAGACATCACACATCTAATTCACTAAACTCCTTATGATTTATGTGAATACTTTGCTAATGCGTAATCTCAAACCTTTGAGGAAGCAAAGATACAGGAACAAGATGTGGCACGTAAGTTTCTAAAATTTAGGCAGCTTTAAAATAGAATGAGCTTAAGGCTATTGACAAAAACCTGAGAGGACGCTTCTTGTAGAATTGACTGTTTGCAAGGTGATCTTAACTTACTGTCTGGTAATGTAAGTATCTGCTTGCTGTGCCCAGGATTTCTGAAATCTCACTGGAGGTAGCTGAGCAAGGAACTGTAACAGCAGTGACTCCTGCAGCTCACTTGATCGAAAGATGTGACTGTCCTCCGGGCTATTCTGGTTTGTCCTGTGAGGTAAGCTGGTTCTTACTGACCTGCTTAAGCCCAACTCTCTTAACTAACCAAATAGAAATACTCTCAGAGCTACCTTTGCTACGATCAGTTTTACTTTCAGGCATGCTCCTACCCTATTTTATTTGATCTTCCACTTACAGTGTGAGACACAGTAAAAAGGGGATGGTGCTGTTGTTACCTCTTAGCAGGAATCACATCTGAAGGGAAATATTTTATAAAAATTAAAAGATCTGTAAAAGTATGGGGCAGTCAGGAAATAATGTTTTCATAAGGCCCATTTATTACATCTGATTTATTTCCCTGGCATCGCTTCTGAACAGTTAGAGATGCTGAAACTGCATTAGGTGACTATTGTTATTAATGGAATATGTAGTTATATACCCATGTATCAATTTACTTATAAATAATTTTATACATCTTTTGTAAATAGGATTTGGGAAGTTTTGTATTAAATATGGTACGTGAGGCATTTGATGCCACCAGGTCAAAACTGAAGTACAGTTTAAAAATGATGAATATAAATTTCTCGAGAGGCGGCATGGGATAATGCAAAGAAAATGCAGCCCTGGCCGGTTTGGCTCAGTGGTTAGAATGTGGGCCCACAGACTGAAGGTTCGATTCCGGCCAAGGGCATGGACCTCGGTTGCAGGCTCGATCCCCAGACCTGGTCGAGGCTCATGCAGAAGGCAACCACTTGATGTGTCTCTCTCACATAGATGGTTCTCTGTCTCTCTGTCTCTCTCTCCCCCTTCCACTCTCTCTGAAAAGCAATGGAAAAAATATCCTAGGGTGAGAATTTAAAAAAAGAAAAAAGAAAATGTAGGTTAGTTTTTGTGAATCCTACCTAACTACTCCACTTGGACTGGGCACATTTCCGGACCCCAGGTTGAATTAATTTAAATGAAAACATATATGTTAAAAGGCCACTGTAAACTGAAGTGTCATTCAACTTAGTAACCATCATATGAATTCCAGATCTTTCAGAGGGCATTTTTAGATTGGGTAGCTATAGCTATATAATAACTAAAGCCTTAAAAACTCTCCTTGTTGTGATCAGTAGGCTTTTTAAACGGTATATTCTAAAACATGTTTTTCCATTAATCTTAGTAATTTTACATCGTTATATGAAAATATAAATTGGCACAAATGAAGCAAATGATAAAAGAAGAAAATCAAGAAAAACTAGGACTACCTACAAACTGCCACCTCTATTGGTGGCTTCACCTATGTCTCGTAAATTTCATTTAAGCTCCTATTTACAGACAATAATTACAGTAATACCTTAGTGGAGAGACTATGGGGATAAAGACCTATATCTCATAATAAGGTACCTGAGGTATTCTCCACAACCCATTGCCTCTAATCCATTATACATCTTATTTATAATTCATCGTGATTCTAAGGTGTAATTACCCAGGCATAAAATCTAATCATCGAAGCAAGAGCTAAGGAGAGTTTTGAAATAATACATCCCATTCCAGTAACTTATGCTTTGGTTCACGAGTATACAAAGCAATTTCTTTACCATATTTTCACCAAATGTATGGTATTCTAGAGACGGCTGCAATTACAAGCTATTTATTTCATGTTTTTACCCAAAATATGGTGCAAATAAACAAAATTAAGTGTTAGTTACTTCTGAAAATGTAGCCAGTTGGGAAGGCACTTAGCCTTTGCCTGTTACCTGCAGTGTTATGACATTACAACCCTATTCATTGAAAATGTTAGTTCTAGAAATGCCTACTTACTACAACTTATAATTTGAGGCAGAGACCACATTACCTTTAGAAATCAAATAAGGACACAATTTTCTCACCACACGTATTCGTGTGGGAGTCATTGAATGTAATATACTTAATGTCGAAGTTGCTCCTCACTGTCTTCTCAGTTAATCATGCTGCCTAAGTAGACCTAAACTCAGGTTAGGTTGCGTACAGAAATGGAAAATATTCGCCATTGAATATGTGGTTCTCTGCAATAAGATCATGGAAAACAAAACAGAAATGTATAGGTTGATCTCTAGGTCATATTTTGGTCATTCCTCCCTCCCCCAGGTTTGATAAGACATTTGGCTCACAGTTGAGTAGCTTTTGTTTACTGGGTCACTGCTCAAAAGCTGTCACTTTGGTCGGTCTAGTAAAAATATTGTTTTTAATCCCCAAACAATTTATACCTATAATCAGCTCATGAAATTCAAAAGACGAAATAGTGAGACTAGGCTTTTCTTCTTACATATGCACACCTCTTGGAATGCCCTTTACCATTTCCTTTGTACATGAAAGACCCAAAGACTCTGTTCAGGTACATAAAAATATTGAGATAATATTTTAATAAAAATATACAGGTAAGTGACATACAGCTTAGAACAATCACAGTTGCCTTTATTTTTGGAGTATTCTCAACATATTTAAAAATGTATCTGGGATAGAGGAACCCATTTTGATTTATTATATGTTAAGCACTAAACATATATGCATCTCATTTAATCCTCGTAACAACACTATAAAAAATGAAACACCATTTATTGAGTGCTTACCGTATCCTGCACAATGCCGAGTGCATTTTCTAATACACTTACACCAACATCATTGAGTGTGTAATATGACCCCCATTTTACAAATGAGGAAATGGAAGCCCAGGCAGATTAAGAAACCTGCCCATGATCCCATGGCCCGAAAACAGCAAAGCTTCAATTTGAACCTAGGCATGTCTGTTTCAAAACACCAAGTATACTTATACCCAACTCTTATGCTATACGACATCCTTATGTTCCAGGTGAGGAAACTGAGGCCCAGGGAATTCAAAACCTGCACGAAATCACATGCAGTAAGTGGTAGAACAGGAATTGAACTCGGGATTGCCTAATTGCAAAACCCATAAAGATATGATAGTGTTTTTATTGTCAACAGTACAAGTATCTATTTTTATTGTTGAACTCTGAGGAAAGAAGGGGGATGTTGTATAACTCTGCACCTGTAGTATACTGGCTCATTACCTTCTTTGTGTCCCATTCCCTTCTGTCCACCCTTCCACATTTTTGTGTGAATTTGATTCTAACCTTTTGATGAGATACTATATTATGAAAATAAATTATATACGGAAGGAAATCAGACTAAAACTGAGAGATGAAAAATTTCAGCACAAGGAAACTTTGAGTCTGAGTTAGAGAAATAAAGGGATAAAATTAGAACAGTGTTTATTTATTTGCTTTTCTTTAGTTCTCCAGTTTGTTCCAGAAAGGATTTTAGACAGGACTTTTAAAAGTAGCTATTATCTTTCCTCTTTTGTTCCCAATTCAAATGCAGTCATTCTCCTGAATTTTGCCCCAGTTCACTGAAAAGCAAAACATCTGCTGTTGAGAAACACACTCAAAAAGTTTTTTAAATGGAAAGAATACAAAGAGGATCCAGGAAAGGAGGGGATTAAAGAGAACTAAATATGTCCCATTCCTTTAAAAAGTGTGCTTTAAAGTTCCTAACTCTTGCATCGCAGAAGTCTCTTTTTCTTGCTAACTCTTAGAACTTTAGTATATAAGGACACAAAATTAATCTAACTTGTTAGAACTGAAAGAAACCAGAAAGCATCTGGATTCATACACCTGCTCATCTGTGGGATGAGAAAACCATGTCTCAATGACACCAAAAGACTTGCCTGTATCCCTCAGGCAAAACTAACTTGTCAAGCCAAGGCTTCCACAGTCATTTGTGTTGCAGCACCAGAGTCTGTATGCCCTTGGAAGACACGCATCTCCAGCCAAGAGTGAGGAACATGCGAATGATTCTTAATCCTGGCTGCTTACTAGACCCTCCTTGGAGTTTTGAAACAAACCCTGGCCCTACTCTCCACCAATTGAATTTGAATCTCTGGGGTGGAGCCCCGGATCAGTATTTAATGCTCCTCAGATGATCTGTGTGCAGCCAGGGTTGAGAACCACCAAAATAGGCCCCACAGAGCTCCACTTGGAGCTCAGGTGTGGCCTCCACTGGGGTGTTTTTCTTTGTCCCGCTACCTTTCCAGGGAAGAGGCATAGTAATAGGGGAAATCGGGTGTGTATTACAGTAAACTTCACCTACAGCACTCACCTTTAAATTTGTCTATCATCTTGGATATCATATGTTTCTCCAATTCAGGTGCTGGTTCTTAACTTTTTTCTTCTTAGACTTATTTTAAATGTTTGCTTGAGATATAAAGTAGAGCTAGGAACTCACAATTTGTGTAGTTTTTATACACACACAGTCACATTGCAAACAAATATACCAGTAAAATAACAATATATATATCCAAGGATGAAATCCATGTAATGAAAATCCAATTTTATTCCACAGTCAGCATGCTAAAGAATTGGAACAATCCACACTGTATAATATTCTTAGATACACCTTGAATTGTTTCTTCAAGTTATACTTAAGTGAATTCCTCAACCATAATTTCCAGATCTTATTTGGTGAAATGGAAAAATCAGCCTTGATTTTTAATAATATGAATAAACTTATTTAAAAAGATCAATACATCCAGGATAAGACAAACAAGACTCAAAATATTTCAACTGCTATGCCCAGTTGTATCAGCTCCTCAAAGCTGAGACAATGTTAAGTCTCATTAGACTGTCTTATAGGCTGTGATAGAAGTGGAGACTCTTAAGTGCCTAATTGAGGTTCTTGCACATTATCTGAATCAAAATAAACCAGGAGAATGCTGACTATTGATTCCTTTCTCTTTGTAAGGAACTTCTTTGCATATTCACTAGGGAGGACCTAGTCCAGAACCAAAAGGATGCAGGGGCGTGAAGAAATTATTCACCCAATAGTTTTTCCTCTGCTTATTGAGCAATCACTTTTCTTTTAACAATGGGAACAAGATATCGCGTGAAAAAAATCCTACAGAGCCACAGTGATAAAACAGTCCCTTTATTATCTTCAGTGGTATCTAAAAATCTAACTCCTAACTCTCACTCATAAATCAGTGTCTGATGAAAGAGGCAGCTCTACATGCAGAGAGGACTGAGCCCAGAACGTACTACTGTTCTCATTCTCCAAAGAGAACGAGAGCTGCGGGCTTCTCTCAGGTTTTTATTGCAAAATGGAAGAAAAAAAATAGATCAGGGAAAGATAAATTTTATTAGTGGCCTAATATTCCCAAGACACATAGGGCTTTTATTATCTTGAATTTCTTACTTTTATAGTCTTTCGATTATACTGATATAAATAATGCAACCGTGATACTATTTTATTTATAATTTTTTCTGAGTCTTGGACAATTGCTAGTTATCCATCAAGCACAATAGAAGTATATTTTAGGTTGTAAATGACATTGGAATTCTCTCTTTACTTCATATGACAATTTTACTTAAAAAGAAATCTCTTTCTCAGGAAAGAGAGGACTAGTTGAAGCATTTTCAGGCTGAATGGTATATGCAAATGAGAGCTCTCTGTTACTAAAATCCGATGACACGGCTGCTGCCTGTATGCTCTAGGGACCAGGCCGAGAGGCACGTTAGGAATCAAAATTGGCACTTGTGTTTGTAAGGGATACTGCCTTTAATACAGGTGGGGGGGGGAGTCCTTCCTTTGAACTACACTGAGAACCCGAGTGTGGCTCAAGCGAGATTTCTCAGTTGGCTGCTCTAATTGGCTCCGTTTTCTTTCAGACATGCACGCCGGGATTTTACCGACTGCGCTCTGGGCCAGGCGGTCGCACGCCTGGGCCAGCCCTGGGCACCTGTGTTCCGTGTCAGTGTAATGGACACAGCAGCCTCTGTGACCCCGAGACCTCCATATGCCAGGTATTCACCTGAGCCTTTCTCGAGCAAGGTTCACGCGTTCATTTCTCTTCACACATGCTAGATGCCATGTGCAGAGGCCAGCTAAACTTCAGGGAGTGTGTGAGTGTGTGTGTGTGAAATAAAACATGCAGGCAAAAACACATCTATCATATTAAACATTTTTTAAGTTGGGTCAGTGCGGGAAAAAGGGGAACATCTGTAATACTTTCAACAATAAAATAAATTTTAAAAAATTTAGGATAATGAAACAAATATAAAAAAAAGAAATGATAATTGGAAAAACGACTAAGCATGTCAAGAAACAGGATATTAACAGCATCTTAGAACAACAGCTGAGGATGCAACTATTTACATAAAAATCACATGAGGGTTTTTTCTGATTATAAACAAAAATAAGCTTTTTATAAGAAATTTGAAAATTATAGAGGAGTATTAAGAAAAAAAATTAAAATAATCTAAAATGCAATTTAAGATAAAGATTTAATATTTTAGATATTTCCTACCAAATTTATGCATGTGTTTATAAATATTATTTAATAACGTAAGTGCAGTTTTATGTACTTATTTTTAAATGTACATATGATGAGCATATTATATTGCTAGATGGTTTCTAAAATCTTTACACTCTTTGTCCAGCTGGGCATGGCTGAGCGGTTGAGCGTCGACCTGGGATCCAGGAGATTGGGGTTTGATTCCCGGTCAGGGCACATGCCCAGGTTGTGGGCTTGATCCCCAGCAGGGGGCGAGCAGGAGGCAGCCGATCAATGACTCTCTCATCATTGATGTTTCTCTCTCTCTCTCCCTCTTCCTTCCTCTCTCTGAAATCAATAAAGATATGTTTTTTTTAAAAAATTAAAATATTTACGATCTTTAATAAGATATTCCATAATTTAACTATTTCCCTTAGAATTCCAGCTCTCTTATTAGATAGTAGGTTGGTTGGTTGGTTGGTTGGTTGGTTGGTTGGTTGGTTAGTTAGTTAGTTAGTTAATTTTGGTATGTTCCTCCTAGCAGTCTACTCTACCATCTCTATCCTGCCTTGGAACAGTTGACTCTCAAGAAGTTCAGGTTTCCCTTGTCACCACCTAGCGTCCCCCAGACTCTCTCGTCCTCTCCTTTGCTGAGCCCATTTCCCACCTCTCCTCATCTCCTGATGCCCTTCCATCAAGCCTGGTGGGACTCATGCTCACACGTCAACAAAATTCCCCCCTTATCCCCCATTGCCCTCAATGTTTTCCTCTCTCCTTGCCCACCACCCGCTGCTTCCCCTGTAGTGTCCCCCAGTGGTGACCATTGTTTTCTCTCGCCCTATTTATTCCCGAGCCTGACGGTGGGGCAGGTGTCCTTGCTCATCAATTCCACTTGCATGTCACCCACCTTTTTGTATCTGCGCCCAGTCATTCTGACTCTTCCATGACTTTGGATGAATGAACTGTTCTTGTTTCTAGAAAAGGTCAAGTGTGCCACGTATGCCCTAAGGCCCTGCCCTCTCTCCCACTCAAGGACATCACTCGGCTCATATCTATTCTCTCTTCCCTTCTTCATTATCACATTTTTTAGTTCATCTTCTATCTTAAAAAAACAAAAACTCTCTTGACTCTCACTTTCCCTCTTGATTTCTACCATTTCATTCTTCTCTTTCTATACAGTGAAGAGTTATTTATACTCTGCCTACAATTTCTCTACCATTCTCTCTTGAACTACTAAAACCAGAACTTGACTTCCACCACTATCCTGAAATCAAAGACTAGTGTTCAGCTATCGGTCTTCATTTTAATTGATCTCTTAGCAGCATTTGCTACTCTGAATCACCCATTCTTCTCCAAACTTTTTGTTCAGCTTGCTTCCCGGGACATGATGTTCTTGGGATTTTCAAGTTGGATGTTGGCTCCTTCTCAGTCTTTATTGTTTGTTCCTCATTACCAGAAACCTACATACCAGTGTTCCCAGAGTCAGTCCTTGGAGCAATTTGCCTCTCTAACTGCACTCATTCCCATGGTGATTGCGTCCAGGCACACGACATTCAATACCTATACTGAGATTCCACAGTATATACCATTATTTCTATGATTAAATTTTAGATCCAGCTCTAATCTTTCTAGAATTTACTGTGGTGTGGGAAGCCTCTTCAAGTATATATTACTTTAAAGAAACATTTTATTTATTAATACTTCATTTTCTCCTTGATACAACATGTTATACGAATATATACAAATTTGTTACATCCATATTAAGATGTTTAAAGAATCATCTATTCTGTCCTACTTACCTTGTAGTTCTAATTACAGTGCTCTGGATTACCTTTATTTTATACTAAGTTATAATATCTGGTCAAGCAGGCACTTTATCACTCTTCCTTTCCTAATTTTCTTAACTGCATGTATTTATATCTTTTCCCAGAGGAGACTTTGATTCACTATTTCAATCTTTTCACCAACAAATGTTACTAGAATTTTTGTTGGAATTGCATTAAACCAATGTGTAAAGAATTGCTATCTTTACACTGTTTGGTTATTGTCTCTCAACCCAGGAACATGCTACTCTTCTCTATCAAACGTGTTGTGTTTCACAGTAAGCTCTTTTGGTATTATTTATATAGGGCATTCATTTCTGATATTAAACTTGTTGCTGTGAATCTTACATTTTCATTTCAATGGTGAACACTACATTCTTTGTTTCAATATATTTACTAAATGCTCATTACTGGTAAACTTTAACAGAATAGATTTTTTTTTTTTTTTTGCATGTATTGATATCCAATTACTTTTTTTAATCCTAGAGTTTCTCAGTTGATTCTTTCAGTTATTTTTATGTCTTATAATAATATTATTTGCAAATACTTATAACTGTGCTTTTCCTTGCCAGGAGCTTTATCCAGTATAATAATTTCATATTCTTGTGTTGATTAAGTCTTCCAGAATATGTTAAATAAGAAGGTAGCCACTTCCTATCTTATTCCTGATTTTGATATGAATGCCTCAGGCCTTTTACTGCAAAGTATAATGCTAGTGGTTAGTTTAAGATAAATATTTTTATCATGTTAAGAAAACTTCTTTTGATTTATGGCTTCTTAAAGATTCCTTTTTTCAATCAAGTAGGATATTAAATTTATCATATGCTTATTTATGAGGAGTGTAGTGGAGGTAAAGGTGTTTTTAAGATATGATCATATAGCCTTTCTTGCCTTAAATAGAATGATGAATGATAAAATTGATTAGATGAATAACTGACTGATACTGACCATCCTTGAATTCCTGAAATAATTACTGCTTGGTTTCAGTATAGTATTGTTTCACCAGTCTGCTGTCTGGTAAAGTTAAATAGATAATTTTAGGGGTTAATTTATACATTTTTTATCACTAACAATAAGCTCTCCTGAACCTATAGAAGACAGTATTGAGGTCAAGCTTTGGAGAAGCCAGACCAGGATTCAAATACAGTCTTTCTATCACTTTTTTTTAACTTTATTTTTATTAAATATATAAGAGTGACATTGGTTAATAAAATTATATATGTTTCAAGTGTACAATTCTATAACACATCATCTGTATATTACATTGTGAGTTCACCATACAAAGTCAAATACACATTCTTAACTGAGACTTAAGTGCATTTATTTTTCTTATGCAATCTTCACTGGTATTTTTTAACAGAGTTATATATACTTCATATGATTAATTTAGAAGAATTCATAAAGGATACAGTTTAATTTTTTTTTTTTTTTTTTAGAATGAAAGTTGTTGTTTATACATTTTCCTCTTTGGACCAATTGACTATTATAGCTATTTTTGTGCCTTAAGAATCTTAAATATAGATCTATTTTCTGAGGTATCTCTAAATAAAGTGAAAAATAAATATGTATGTGCTTCAAATATGCACAGCTAGTATAGATTGTTGTGCTCTGAATTATCATCTGTTCCTTCAGGGAATTTACAACTTTCAAATTTAGGCAACTTTGTTCATCTCTGAAACAGCCCTTTGAGGGCTGTTTGGCTATTGTTTTTTTGACGCTTTAACTGAGGAAACTGAAGCATACTGATTTCTTTTCTAGTATAGTGTGGATCCCAGTTTAATACCATATCCTTTACACAGGGCAATGCCTCTACTTTGATATAGTGGTCACAAACATGACTCTGGGGTCACTGCCTTCATTCAAATCCTGGCTTCCTCCCCTATGGGCTGTGGGAGCCTAGGCAGTTTATATAACCTCATTGAGGTCTTAGTTTTCTCATTTATTAAATAAAGATAATAATGGTGCCCAGACATAGAGTTTTTATAGGGAGTCAATGAAGTATTTAGCACATGGTAAGCTCCATAGAAGTGATAGTGATGATGATGATTATGATGATGGCGATAAAGATGATAATTATTATACATGTTCTCTACCATTTATGGTCTAAGAACCAATCAAATAATAATTAATTAAAACATGTAAAAACTATTATTATCTCTGTCACTATGCTAGACCTGCTCACTTATATATATATTTTTTTCTTTATACCTTTCTTCAAGAATATGGGGTAGAGAAGAAACAAAGCTATAGAAAACTTTGCAGGCTAATTATTTCAACTGCTAAATAAAATCCACATCGCTTTGTAACTATTCTCTTCATAATTCATAATGACACTTACAAGAGAGGTGTTGCTTCATCCTAGTCATTAGTAAATCCTACACATAGGCATGTTATTATTAATAGCTCAGTGACTGGTACTCCATTAAGGAAAATTTTCATCAAAATGGGAGAGTAAAATCTAAGTGATATTGATCCCCAAGCCAGGACAGGGGAAGGAGGTAAGCAAACTAACACTAATTAGTACACACACAGACTCTCTCAGATAGATTGATTGATTGATAGATACACAGCTTTTCAGAATTTATATATAATACATATAATTATCTATCTATCTACACACATATAATCTCATTTAATCATCACTACACTCCTATGGTTGGTATTATTTCTCCACTATTTCACATGGGAATATCAGTCTCAGCTCGCT